GAGGGGGTGGGGGAACAAAGAAGAGCCAAAAGAAGAAAAGCAACAAGACACAATAAACAATCAAACACTGGTCAGGCTGATGTGGCCGATGACTGCTCATCAGAAACATAGAGCCCCAGGGCCACGGCTACCTGCAGAAAAGTACAGGGAGAGAGAGAGGACACACTACAGGAAAGAGGAGACACAAAGTTGGTGATGTGTAGTGGTGGCATATGGAAGCATGGAGAGAGAGGAGAGGAGAGGAGAGGAGAGGAGAGGAGAGGGGAGGGGAGTGGAGGGGAAAGAAACTAGTTGAGACTAGTTTCAATTTTCACTCTCTGATTACTTGATAGTCTTTACACTTTATTCTAAATACAGTTTCCTGTATCTACTAAGTGTTAGTTATACCAGCATTTCTTTAGTTTGACCCATATATTTGTTCTGACTTATACTCTGTTTTCACCACATATGATGCTTCTTTCAGTACCACAGACAGCGACATTCATATGCCCCAAACAGTCACATTTGTAAAGTCAAGTAGTGCAGCATTTCATAGGACGTTAGAGCTGTTCATGTACAGTTTTGCTGTTGCTCCAGTCGTCCAGTTGAAACCGTATTTCAAATATAAAACCCAAGTAATAGGCCTGATAGTCAACAATTGAGCACTATTTGCTTATATCCACATGTTACAAATGCCGGCTCTCTAAATACTAATGTAAGGAGTTCAGGTTTTTAACTCTAAGTGACGCTGTTGGTCAGCAAAACGATTTCAGTCTCAAGAGCAGGCATTCTCCCCCCTCATTACCGTACACTGCTTGTCAGCAGAGATACTGTTCTTCCAGGGAGGACAGGGCGTGGAGAGGTGATTTTTTTGTTCATCTGTCTTTGGAATATACGAGAAGCACATTGTTATTTAAAAGCAGTACAATTTTTAATCTGGATTACAAGATCGTGTTTATTTTCTTCAAGTGAGGACATCTTTCATGAAGATCTATTGTTTCTGACATGGCAGCCCAACGCCAGTTCTACACTAGAATTGTAAGATGGCGATTGTTTTGTATGTTACGATTGAAGGTGGGATTTCTCATTTTGCTTGCTTGTATGGGCGATAGAGTAGCTGGCCAGATTCGTTATTCTATTCCAGAGGAGATGAAAAAAGGCTCTGTTATTGGCAATGTAGCACAAGACCTCGGTCTGGATGTGAAAAGACTCCGTTCTGGCCATGCCCGCATCGTCAGTGGAGAAAACATCCAGTACATCGAGCTGAAGACAGACAAAGGGACACTTGTCGTGAATGACAGAATAGACCGAGAACAACTTTGCGGAGACATAACACCTTGTAGTCTCAGTTTTGAAATCATTTTAGAAAATCCTATCGAGCTTCATCGTGTCACTGTCGAAATTCTAGATATAAATGATAATGCTCCTTTCTTTCCAAATAAAGACATCCGGTTTGAAATGAGCGAGTCTGCTACAATTGGAGCAAAATTCCCCGTTGAAAGCGCAGTTGATCCTGACGTTGGACTAAATGCATTACAAAATTATGTCCTTTCCCCAAATAATTATTTCATTTTAAAACAGCATGCAAATCCAGACGGCAGTAAATACGCTGAACTGGTGCTCCAGAAAGCATTGGACAGAGAGGAACATCCCAGTCTCCCTCTAAAAGTAATGGCTGTAGACGGTGGAAGCCCACAAAGATCTGGTACAGTGAATATAATCGTATCTGTTTTAGATGTCAACGATAATTCCCCTGTATTCAACCAGTCAGTTTACAGGGCCGTAGTTGTGGAAAATGCCCCAAAAGGAACTTATGTTACAACGGTTAATGCTACTGATGCAGACAGTGGGACTAATGCGGAAATAGCTTTCAGTTTTTCTAAAATAAAAGGAAGTATGGTTGATATGTTTAGTATCGATGAAAACACGGGAGTCATATCAGTTGCCGGGCTGATTGACTTTGAAAAAGAGAAAAAACATGAGCTCAGGTTAGAGGCAAGGGATCGAGGAGGATTGACTGGGACCAGTAAAGTTATAATTGATGTTAGCGACGTCAACGACAATGTTCCAGTTATTAATATCATGTCTTTTTCCAATACTGTGTCAGAAGATGCCCCTCTTGGCACAACAATAGCTGTTATCAATGTCAAAGACGCCGATTCCGAGAAAAATGGACAAATAAAATGTACTATAGACAAAATGCTTCCGTTTAAAATCGAGTCATCATTGACAAACTATTATAATTTAGTAGCGGATCAGCATTTTGATAGAGAAACAACTTCTGAATATGCTATTATCATACAAGCCACCGATTCAGGGTCTCCACTTCTTTCTAGCTCCGTGACATTACAGCTTAGAATCTCTGACGTGAACGACAACGTTCCATTGTTCGACAAAAACATATATTCTGCTTACGTCACAGAGAACAATTCTCCTGGAGTTTCTATCACCACTGTGAGCGCGAGAGACTCTGACTGGAGTCAAAACGCGAGAATCTCTTATTTCCTGGAGGAAACACAAGTCGGCGGTAATCCCGTGACTAACTATGTGTCCATAAACTCTGAAACTGGGGTTTTACATGCAGTGCGCTCATTTGATTATGAACAAATTAAAGAACTTTATCTTACCGTCAAAGCTCAGGATGGAGGCTCTCCTCCTCTCAGTAGTAATGTGACTGTGAAAATACTGATCCAGGACCAGAACGACAACCCCCCTCAGGTCCTGTACCCAGTCCAGACTGGAGGCTCTGTGGTGGCTGAAATGGTGCCTCGTTCAGCAGATGTGGGCTATCTGGTCACTAAAGTGGTGGCTGTTGATGTGGACTCTGGACAGAATGCCTGGCTCTCCTATAAACTGCAGAAAGCCACAGACAGGGCGCTGTTTGAAGTGGGCTTACAGAATGGAGAAATCAGAACTATCCGCCAGGTGACTGATAAAGACACAGTGAAACAGAGACTGACTGTTATAGTGGAGGACAACGGGCAGCCCTCTCGTTCAGCTACAGTCATTGTTAACGTGGCGGTGGCGGACAGCTTCCCTGAAGTGCTGTCGGAGTTCACTGACTTTCCACACGACAAGGAGTACAATGACAACCTGACTTTTTACTTAGTGCTGGCTCTGGCTGTAGTTTCCTTCCTCTTCATCACCTGTTTAGTGGTTATTATATCAGTGAAGATCTACAGGTGGAGACAGTCTCGCATCCTGTATCACTCCAATCTCCCTGTGATTCCATATTATCCACCACGTTACTCAGACACTTTGGGGACAGGGACTCTCCAACACGTGTACAACTACGAGGTGTGTAGGACGACTGACTCCAGGAAAAGTGACATGAAGTGCATGCAACCGATGAGTCAAAACTTAGTGAGTGTGGATGGAGCTGGGGCAGACACACCGCAGGTGGACATACAGCTGTCAGGCGACAGTTCTCAAATGTCAACTCTGGTGAGTGATATAGTTAATATTATGTTCATGTTTTCTTATAAAGGATTAAAAGAAACACGGTACTATGTTCAATGCTGCATTAGTGTCGCTGTCCAAGGTCCTGAAAATGTGCTGGAACTTTTTTCAGAAATTGTAATGGAGTTTTAAAAAAATCATATTCACTTTTAACAAACCAACTAAAATGACATAGTCACTCTTAACACAATCTGGAATGTCATTTTTGTCAGTCATCTCTCAGTAGTGATACCTTAATTTAAATTCCAAATTCCAAAGCATATTCAGTGGAAATTGCATTCTCAATGTGGCAGTTTTTTATATTTATAATTATTTCATTTAATCAATATTCACAAGATTTTTGTCAACAAAATGTAATTTTTGTTAGTGAGGAAAAAACATATATTTCCAGAATAAAATAAAAATTTAATAACACGGCAATGACAAATGTCAACGGCGGAAAAAAAAAACATCTTTCATACCCACCTTATCATTCAATATTCACATCTAACAACTATTTCATGTTCACTTTCCTTCATTTGTTTATTTTGTAAGTTATTTCACAGATCATCATTATTTTTGTTATTGTTGACCCTTAGTCATCAGTTGTGACGTTTAGTGAACAAAGTTTTAGTAACATTTGAAAAAATGATTTTACTGTCATTAGAAAACTTGAGATACTTTTGTGGAACAGAACCTGATGAGTTTATAGACAGACGTGATTTCTACCACTCCTAGAGCTTTGTTCCAAAAATGTTTTTTACAAGAGTAAAAACTCGATATATGCTTTGGATACACTATATAATTCATAATACTGTGCACATCATATACATTACCATGGATGGGCTCTGAGCGCCGCTGTTGATACATCACTGACAAACGGTCCAAATAGGCGGTGCAGAGATCCACCTCTTTAACTCCATTCAGTGTTTGCCTGGATAGAAGACGGTCTGGCCCGTCAACGTTTGAAGTGTAGACACTGTAGTGATATTGCTACGCTGAAAATATAAAGACATTTTCAGTTAATGGATTTTATTACACCTGTTTTGCACTGAAAGGGATTACTGCGTCATATATCTTTGGATTTATGATGGCTGGTATGTGGATAAACGCTCTTCAAGGCCGATGGCAAGCATTGGTCGTTATTCTTTGTCTTTTCGAGCTGAGCTCAGTGACTGGACAGGCTCGGTATTCCATACCGGAGGAGCAGGCAGAGGGGTCTTTTGTTGGAAACATTGCTAGAGATTTAGGCTTGGATGTGGCAAGACTCATTTCAGGTAAAGCGCGTATTATCACAAAAGGAAGCCGACAGTATGTCGGTTTAAACCGAGACAAGGGCGTCCTTGCTGTTCAAGAGCGAATCGACCGAGAAGAGCTTTGTGGAAAGACGACGCCCTGCAGTTTTAGTTTCGAGGTCATTTTAGAAAATCCAATCCAGCTTTATCGGGTCACAGTGGAGGTAACAGACATTAATGATAATAGTCCGTCGTTCCCAAAAGAGGAAATCAATTTGAAAATTGTTGAAAATGCTGCAACGGGGACTCGCTTCTCTTTGGTGTGTGCAGACGATCCTGATGTTTTAATAAACGATATTCAAAAATATACTCTTAAACCCTCGGATAATTTCAAATTGGAGGTTCAAAGTCAAGCTGATGGAGGCAGGTTTATCGAAATGGTTTTACAAATCCCGTTAGACCGAGAGAAAGAGGAAAGTCACACACTCCTGCTGATTGCTTCAGATGGTGGTCAGCCACACAAATCAGGCACAGCGCGTATTCATATCACTGTGCTGGATGCTAACGATAATGCTCCTGTTTGTAACCAGCCTGTTTATAAAGCCGATGTCAAGGAGAATTCAGCTGAAGGAACAGTGGTCTCCACTGTCAGTGCATACGACGCAGATAAGGGAGTCAATGGTGAAGTGACTTATTCTATTCCTCACATTGCTAAAGAGGCAAAGCAGCTTTTTGAAGTAAATGGTAAAACTGGAGAAATTAAAGTTGCAGGTAAACTAGATTTTGAAAAATCTAAAACATATCAATTAAATGTACAGGCTAGTGACCACGGGGGATATACAGACACGTGCAAAGTTATTATTCAAATTATTGATGAGAATGATAATGTCCCTACAATACAGCTTATGTCATTTTCTAACACAATATCTGAGGATTCACCCCCAGGTACCACTATAGCTGTCGTTAACGTCGATGATGAAGACTCTGATGGTAATGGCGTTGTCAAATGCTCTATTAACTCTGACATACCTTTTAAAATTGAGTCTTCATTAACTGGTTATTACACTATAGTTACTGATAATTACCTAGACAGAGAAAGTATTCCTGAGTATAACATTACCATAACAGTCTCTGACCAAGGCTCTCCACCTCTGTCCAGTAGTAAAAACATCACTGTTAAAGTGTCTGACGTAAATGACAACCCACCCAAATTTGATAAAACAGAGTATAGTAAAAGTGTCCCAGAGAACAACTCTCCTGGATTTTCTGTGTTTACTGTCGGTGCTAGTGATGCAGACTGGGGCCAAAATGCACGGGTTGCTTACTTTCTGGAGGATAAGGAGATTAACGGGGTCGCTGTGTCTTCGTTAGTGTCAATAAGTTCAGACAGTGGTGTGATTCAGGCAGTGAGGTCGTTTGATTATGAGCAAATCAAGTGGTTTGAATTTAACATAACTGCTCGTGATGCTGGATCTCCTCCTCTGACTTCTGTGGCTTCAGTTAAAATATTGATCCAGGACCAGAATGACAACCCCCCTCAGGTCCTGTACCCAGTCCAGACTGGAGGCTCTGTGGTGGCTGAAATGGTGCCTCGTTCAGCAGATGTGGGCTATCTGGTCACTAAAGTGGTGGCTGTTGATGTGGACTCTGGACAGAATGCCTGGCTCTCCTATAAACTGCAGAAAGCCACAGACAGGGCGCTGTTTGAAGTGGGCTTACAGAATGGAGAAATCAGAACTATCCGCCAGGTGACTGATAAAGACACAGTGAAACAGAGACTGACTGTTATAGTGGAGGACAACGGGCAGCCCTCTCGTTCAGCTACAGTCATTGTTAACGTGGCGGTGGCGGACAGCTTCCCTGAAGTGCTGTCGGAGTTCACTGACTTTCCACACGACAAGGAGTACAATGACAACCTGACTTTTTACTTAGTGCTGGCTCTGGCTGTAGTTTCCTTCCTCTTCATCACCTGTTTAGTGGTTATTATATCAGTGAAGATCTACAGGTGGAGACAGTCTCGCATCCTGTATCACTCCAATCTCCCTGTGATTCCATATTATCCACCACGTTACTCAGACACTTTGGGGACAGGGACTCTCCAACACGTGTACAACTACGAGGTGTGTAGGACGACTGACTCCAGGAAGAGTGACATGAAGTGCATGGAACCGATGAGTCAAAGCTTAGTGAGTGTGGATGGAGCTGGGGCAGACATACAGCTGTCAGGCGACAGTTCTCAAATGTCAACTCTGGTGAGTGATACATTTCATTTGTTCCCATTTCATTGTTTTTCTCATGACCTATCATGGAATTTATGAACTAGACTCTCCTCTCGAGGTTGATTTATTGTTTCGTCCTTCCTCACAAAGTTTGATCTCTTTTATTTTCGTGTAATTTTAGATTTTATGACCTGTCTCCATGCCCCCTTAAAAACCATCTTCAGTACCACTGGTGATGGACAGCTCCTCTCAGGGTTTTGCCAGTTTATTGAACTGAAACATAGTAATAAAGGAAAATGCACACTCAGTCGTTGTTCCGTGTTAATAACATGTACATTTGGCAGTGCTACATACTGTGTTTTCTGTCATTTATAATTAGAAAATATGTATTGACTTTTTGTTATAGCGTGTTTTGTGACTGGTGAAATGTTGTCACCAGCACACACGTGTCATGGCCATGCAGCAGTTTTACATCTCATGCTTTATTAATCATTTGCATCTTAACTTTTCATAAACTACAACATGTATATACACTTTTCAATTTTAATGCCACCACTCACACCCTTACATTGAATTAAGCATAACTTTAAATACTTTTGACGCTCTGTTTCCCTTTCTTAAATTCAATTGGACAATATATTTATCAAATTTTTGTAGCAGCACTTATTTATGTCATGACGGACTCTAAGGGTCGCTGTTGTTCTTCAAAGCACATGTTAAGCTTTAGAGCTACACATCCAGCCTTCTTCTCAGTGTTCCCCCCTAGAGCAGGGCATTAGGTCTTTATTTTTCACCAGAGATTTGTAGACTACTGAATTCCTTGTTCACGCCGTGGATTATAAATACATAAGCAGAAGGACTGTGCGGTGTATTACGCGAGATATTTGCGCCTATGTGGAGTTGGGTGGATTGCTTCAGGAATATGCATTTTGTCACCAGTGAACCCGCGAATAAAAGGCAAGTACGGGCCTTCATCTTTGTTTTTCTCATTAAGGCAACAGTCTGCCAAATCCGCTACTCTGTTCCAGAGGAGATGAGAAGTGGCTCCTTTGTAGGAAACGTGGCTGAAGATTTAGGTATTGACGCTCAAAGACTGAAATCAGGCGGAGCCCGAATCGTTAGCGGTGATAACAGCGAATATATTAGGCTAGATGTAGACAAAGGGATTCTGGTCGTGGGAGAAAGAATAGATCGAGAGCAGCTTTGCGGGCAGACAACGCCCTGTAGCTTGAATTTTGAAATGATTATGACGAATCCAATGCAGCTACATAGCGTCGTGGTGGAAGTGTTGGATGTTAATGATAATGCACCCGTGTTTCACGAGAAAGAAATGCATTTAGAAATACTAGAATCTTCTCTCCCCGGAACAGAAATATTAGAGGCGAGTGCCACCGACCCTGATGTTGGCATCAACGCTTTAAATAGTTATACCTTACACCCTACAACACATTTTAACATTAAGGTGTTGTCCAGCCCAAATGGTCATAAATATGCACAGTTGTATCTTTCTAGTGCTTTAGACCGGGAGAAAGAGGAAAAGCTGCTTCTCACGCTAACTGCTGTGGACGGGGGTGAACCACAGCGGTCAGGAGCACTAAAAATACACGTTACTGTCCGAGACACAAACGACAATGCCCCAGTGTTTTCCCAGTCAATTTTCAAGGCGTCTGTTAAAGAAAATGTTCCCAAAGGAACTGTAGTGGTTACCTTGAGTGCAGCAGATGCAGATGAAGGGATGAATGGCCGTGTTACATACCATTTTAATCGCATGTCTAGTAATGTTGCTGAACTGTTTCATCTCGATGAAAACAGCGGCGTTTTAACGGTAAATGGTGCAATTGATTATGAAGAGAAGAAGATTTATGAGATTGGCGTGCAGGCAAAAGATCAAGGTGGACAAAGTACATCAACAAAAGTAATAATCGAGGTGGTGGATGTTAATGACAATCCACCTGTAATAACATTGACGTCACTTTCAAGCGCCATCGCTGAAGATTCTCCAAGTGGAACCACAGTGGCTATCATAAACGTTAAAGATCAAGATTCAGGCAAGAATGGGAAAGTAGACTGTTCAGTTAACGGAAATATCCCGTTTGCAATCCACTCATCTCTAAAGAACTATTATACTCTGGTAACAAACGGTGTCCTTGACAGGGAGCGTAATCCTCATTACAATATCACTTTTACTGCTGTGGATGAAGGCAGCCCGCAGCTCTCAACTAACAAGACAGTAGCACTTCGAGTATCTGACGTTAATGATAATGCTCCCGTATTTGAACAGAGTTATTATGAAGCTAACATCATGGAGAATAACTCTCCGGGATTATGTGTGTTTTCTGTGAAAGCACATGACTCTGACACGGGGCAGAACGCACGAGTCTCTTACCTGCTTATTGATACTCACTTAAATGGTAATCCCATATCCACTTACATATCTGTTAACACAGAAAGTGGCGCGATACAAGCAGTGAGGTCATTTGACTTTGAGCAAATTAAAACCATCATTATTTTTGTAAAAGGACAAGATGGGGGTTCCCCACCGTTGAGTAGTAATACCACTGTTAAAATAAATATTCAAGACCAGAACGACAACCCTCCTCAGGTCCTGTACCCAGTCCAGACTGGAGGCTCTGTGGTGGCTGAAATGGTGCCTCGTTCAGCAGATGTGGGCTATCTGGTCACTAAAGTGGTGGCTGTTGATGTGGACTCTGGACAGAATGCCTGGCTCTCCTATAAACTGCAGAAAGCCACAGACAGGGCGCTGTTTGAAGTGGGCTTACAGAATGGAGAAATCAGAACTATCCGCCAGGTGACTGATAAAGACACAGTGAAACAGAGACTGACTGTTATAGTGGAGGACAACGGGCAGCCCTCTCGTTCAGCTACAGTCATTGTTAACGTGGCGGTGGCGGACAGCTTCCCTGAAGTGCTGTCGGAGTTCACTGACTTTCCACACGACAAGGAGTACAATGACAACCTGACTTTTTACTTAGTGCTGGCTCTGGCTGTAGTTTCCTTCCTCTTCATCACCTGTTTAGTGGTTATTATATCAGTGAAGATCTACAGGTGGAGACAGTCTCGCATCCTGTATCACTCCAATCTCCCTGTGATTCCATATTATCCACCACGTTACTCAGACACTTTGGGGACAGGGACTCTCCAACACGTGTACAACTACGAGGTGTGTAGGACGACTGACTCCAGGAAGAGTGACTGTAAGTTTGGTGGAGCTGGTAGTCAGAACGTGTTGATAATGGACCCCAGTTCTACAGGGACGATGCAGCGGATACAGGGTGAGAAGAGCATCCTGGATGAACCAGACTCTCCTCTAGAGGTTAGTTCTTTGAAATATAAATGTTCACTAATATGTGTATAGTTTTCCAAAGGTATTCCTAAACAGTGATGCCATTTTATGCTCCCATTTAACTGGTAAAGCATGAAGCATTCTCAAAGCCACAATTTGTGAACAGCTCCACTAAATAGATTTCAAATGTTCTTTTCCCCTCACTCTCGTCTTTCACTATGGGTATTTAATGCCATCGTTCACCAGAACTGTTGCAGACACTTCAGATAGTCAAGGAGTGAGACTGTGTGGTTTAGTGTAAGATGATGCAGCTCCAGGGACATTCAAGCCTCTGCTCCTATTAATAACAGGTACCTGTGTATTTTTAAACAGATACAACAAATATATTTGAATAAATACATCAAGAAAAGGTACAGTAGTTTTGAAATGTCCAATTCGTCTTTTCTACACCTGTTCTATGACTAGTTTGTTCTGTTTTCATGATATTCATGCTTTGAACAGTAAGAGACGCTGTTGGTCAGTGAAACAAATATGTGGACTTGATTCCGAATAGGCTGTGCCCTTATCTTGCCGTTAAACAGGAGAGAAATCTAACTGCTTCACAAGCAGGGCTACTGCTACAGATCCATTCTCTGAGAGGATTTTAATATCACAGGATTGCTTTTCGCCGCTGTTTTTCTTTCTTGTGGATTTACACATCAGTCTTGTTGTATCACGTTTTTCTTATATTGCAATGGCGTTTGAAATGTTTACGCCTTCGGTCGTAAAATGGCGTTTGGATTGCAGGTCAGTGTGGCCGTTTCTGTCTTTGCTTTTGTGCCTCAGTCACACTGTGTCTGGTCAAATCAGGTATACAATTCCAGAAGAACTGAAAAGGGGCTCAATTATTGGTAACGTAGCTCAAGACCTTGGTTTGGATGTGCAGCGGCTCCGATCTGGCCGTGCTCGTATCATAACAAGACAAAGCACACAGTACACTGAGCTGAAAACAGACAAAGGCATTTTAGTCGTGAACGAGAGAATAGACCGAGAGCAGCTCTGTGGAGACGTCACACCCTGCAGCTTCAGCTTTGAGGTGATTTTAGAAAACCCTATGGAGTTGCACCGAATAACAATAGAAATAACTGACATCAATGACAATTCTCCGACATTTAGAAAAGATGAAATCAAATTTGAAATAAGCGAAACAGCCACACTGGGATCACGCTTCTTGTTAGCCAGCGCTGACGACGCAGACGTGGGCAGTAATGGTTTACAGAAATACATACTAATTACTAATGACATTTTTGGTTTGAAGCAACAATCAAGTCCAGATGGTCGAAAATATGCCGAGATGATTTTACAAAAACCGTTAGACAGAGAAAGCGAGCCAAGAATATCACTGAAGCTCCTCGCTGTTGACGGTGGTACTCCGCAAAGATCTGGTACAGTAAATATTGATATTACAGTGCTCGATGCTAATGACAATCCTCCCATTTTTAACCAGTCTCTCTACAGGGCTACTGTCGCGGAAAATGCACTAAAAGGCACCTATATCACGACGGTGAATGCAAGTGATGCAGACAGTGGCTCAAACAGTCTTGTCACATACAGGTTTTCAAACATGAAAGAGCAGCTGGCTGACGTATTTCATTTAGATGAAGTTACGGGGATCATAACACTTGTAGGGCAGGTGGATTATGAAAAAGATAAAAAATATGAAATTATGATTGAAGCTATGGACCAAGGAGGTTTGACAGATTCAAGTAAAGTGCTAATTGAGATAGTAGACGTCAATGATAACGCACCAGTCATAAATGTCATGTCATTTTCCAGCCCTGTGCCAGAGAATTCTGCTTCAGGTACCACAGTGGCAATAATTAATGTGATTGACGCAGACTCAGAACAAAACGGACAAATTATTTGTACAACTGACAGCAGCCTGCCATTTAAAATAAAACCAACGTTAACTAATTACTATGCATTAGTAACAGACGCATCTTTTGACAGAGAAATTGTACCAGAGTATAATATAAGTTTAAGGGCCACAGATTCAGGATCACCATCTTTGTCAAACACAACAATATTGCGTTTGAGAATATCTGATGTAAATGACAATGCCCCGTTATTTGATAAAAGTAGCTACATTGCTCACGTTACAGAAAACAATTCCCCTGGAATATCCATATTTTCCGTAAAGGCACGGGACACTGACTGGAATCAAAATGCTAGAATATCGTACTTCCTTGAAGAAACGCAGATTAACGGTAGTCCAGCCTCTTCCTACGTCTCCATAAACACTGAAACTGGGGCTATTCATGCAGTGCGCTCCTATGACTATGAGCAAATTAAAGAACTTCAGTTGATAGTTAAGGCACAGGATGGAGGCTCTCCTCCTCTCAGTAGCAATGTGACTGTGAAAATACTGATCCAGGACCAGAACGACAACCCCCCTCAGGTCCTGTACCCAGTCCAGACTGGAGGCTCTGTGGTGGCTGAAATGGTGCCTCGTTCAGCAGATGTGGGCTATCTGGTCACTAAAGTGGTGGCTGTTGATGTGGACTCTGGACAGAATGCCTGGCTCTCCTATAAACTGCAGAAAGCCACAGACAGGGCGCTGTTTGAAGTGGGCTTACAGAATGGAGAAATCAGAACTATCCGCCAGGTGACTGATAAAGACACAGTGAAACAGAGACTGACTGTTATAGTGGAGGACAACGGGCAGCCCTCTCGTTCAGCTACAGTCATTGTTAACGTGGCGGTGGCGGACAGCTTCCCTGAAGTGCTGTCGGAGTTCACTGACTTTCCACACGACAAGGAGTACAATGACAACCTGACTTTTTACTTAGTGCTGGCTCTGGCTGTAGTTTCCTTCCTCTTCATCACCTGTTTAGTGGTTATTATATCAGTGAAGATCTACAGGTGGAGACAGTCTCGCATCCTGTATCACTCCAATCTCCCTGTGATTCCATATTATCCACCACGTTACTCAGACACTTTGGGGACAGGGACTCTCCAACACGTGTACAACTACGAGGTGTGTAGGACGACTGACTCCAGGAAGAGTGACTGTAAGTTTGGTGGAGCTGGTAGTCAGAACGTGTTGATAATGGACCCCAGTTCTACAGGGACGATGCAGCGGATACAGGGTGAGAAGAGCATCCTGGATGAACCTGACTCTCCTCTAGAGGTCAGTTACAAAGTATAGTTTCATCTATATGTCCTTATTTCTTCCTGTGTTTAGGTAAACTGATAATTCATTTTTGCACGCTATGCCTGTATATTCGGCATCATGGACAGCCCCTCTATCATTTGATAAGGATGCTGCTTCTGTATTCATGTTCAGAATTTCAGTAAAATAATCTGACGTAGATTTTCAGAAAATGACATTCTCATATATTCCACACGTACATCACTGTTGCTTTGTTGGATTACGTATTAAACCGAGCCAGAGGCTTTATTATAAATTATGATTATTCTAAACAGTCACAAACATAAATGGACTTTTTTGACTATCATCACATAGAGATTTGTTTACTATAATTTAGCCGTGCTGTCCTTTTTAATATCTCTATTTAGGCTGTGTGTATTCATCACTTCAGTGATGCAGAGTCGTGTTTGTTGAAAAAAAGCAAATCAGTGTCTGTGTGTATCATGGTGTGTTTTTGTTGGTTCATTCTGTATAGTAAATTGCATGGAGAAGTATTTGCAGTTCCCTTACCCCTTTCCTCCGTTTGGACTCTAAGGGACGCTGTTGATTAGTAAAACAGAGTCTGGTGTTGTTGCCACTGTGAGAGAGGAAAGAGGCAGGATAGGTTCAAAGCACGGTCTTCATAGGAAGCATTCGACAGAAATACTGTCACAGGAGAACAGCCTTTTTGCTTGATAATAATCCAACAAATTTTCGAAAACTGAAATGCAGCAGTATTGAACTGGAGTGTAGCTTGCATCTAAATGTGTGCCCGGAGGATTTAAACCGTTGTATTTTGGATTTTACTCTTAACGACATGGGGATACGCCACCACCGATGCGGACAATGTCTTTTGTGCTGGGCACCTCTATGGCAACTGTTCATTTTTGCCCTCCTGATTTCCAACGTGATTGGCCAAATCCGTTACTCGATACCGGAGGAGATGAAGAAAGGCTCCTTAATCGGTAATGTAGCACAAGACCTTGGTTTGGATCTGAAAAGGCTCCATTCTGGCCTAGCCCGTATCGTGACTGGAGAAAACAAGCATTACATCGAGCTGAAAACAGACAAAGGAATTCTGGTCGTGAATGAAAGAATCGACCGAGAGCAGCTCTGCGGAGACGTAACACCATGCAGCTTCAGCTTTGAAATAATTTTAGAAAATCCGATTGAACTGCACAGGGTAACAATAGAAATATTAGACGTGAATGATCATGCACCAACTTTCAAAAACTATGTAATCAACCTAGAAATCAGTGAATCCGCAACAATAGGCTCGCATTTCGATTTAGAAAGCGCATATGACCCCGATGCAGGTATGCATAGCTTGCAAAACTATGTTTTATCTCCTAACGATCACTTTGCTCTGAAGCAGCACTCCAACGCTGATGGAGCCAAGTTCGCTGTAATGATTTTACAGAAACCGTTAGACAGAGAGTTGAACCCGCATCTCTCTTTAAAGCTGATAGCAAGAGACGGAGGAACTCCACAGCGATCTGGTACAGTAAATATAGAGATCACTGTTCTTGATGTTAATGATAATCCTCCTGTATTTAATCAATCAGTTTATACTGCTACTGTGACAGAAAATGCACCTGTAGGCACTTACATAACTACTGTGAATGCTTCAGATGCGGACAGTGGGTCTAACGGTCTGATTACTTATGCGTTTTCCAATCCAAAGGGTGAACTATTTGAAATTGACAGTTTCTCAGGCAAAATAACTGTTGCTGATAATATTGATTTCGAAAAAGATAGAAAATACGAAATAAGAGTGATTGCCAAAGATCAGGGAGGCTTAAGTGACGCAACCAAAGTTGTCATTGAGGTCACTGACATAAATGATAATGCTCCACTTATAAATATAATGTCCTTCTCCAGCCTGATTTCAGAGGATGTCCCTCCAGGCACGACTATAGCAGTTTTTAATGTTAAGGATGCAGATTCTGAAAGGAACGGTGAGATAACATGCTCAATAGACTCTAATCTCCCCTTTAAAATCCAGTCCTCGTTGACTAATTATTACAGTTTGCTTTCAGATGTAGCTTTTGATCGTGAAACAAAACCAGAATACAACGTAACTCTAACGGCAACAGATTCAGGTTCGCCCTCACTTTCTGCCAAAACAACTCTAAGGTTAAAAATTGTTGATGTAAACGATAATGCTCCGCTCTTTACTAAACCAAATTATTCTGCATATATCGTTGAAAATAATGTCCCTGGGATTTCCATATTTAGTGTGAGCGCACATGATTCTGACTGGAATCAAAATGCAAAAATCTCATACTTTCTGGAAGACATGCAGGTCAGTGGCAGCCCAGTTTCTTCTTATGTGTCCATAAACTCCGAAACTGGAGTTATTCATGCAGTGCGCTCTTTTGACTACGAGCAGATCAAAGATTTCCACTTCCGTGTCAAAGCTCAGGATGGAGGCTCTCCTCCTCTCACTAGTAATGTGACAGTGAAAATACTGATCCAGGACCAGAACGACAACCCCCCTCAGGTCCTGTACCCAGTCCAGACTGGAGGCTCTGTGGTGGCTGAAATGGTGCCTCGTTCAGCAGATGTGGGCTATCTGGTCACTAAAGTGGTGGCTGTTGATGTGGACTCTGGACAGAATGCCTGGCTCTCCTATAAACTGCAGAAAGCCACAGACAGGGCGCTGTTTGAAGTGGGCTTACAGAATGGAGAAATCAGAACTATCCGCCAGGTGACTGATAAAGACACAGTGAAACAGAGACTGACTGTTATAGTGGAGGACAACGGGCAGCCCTCTCGTTCAGCTACAGTCATTGTTAACGTGGCGGTGGCGGACAGCTTCCCTGAAGTGCTGTCGGAGTTCACTGACTTTCCACACGACAAGGAGTACAATGACAACCTGACTTTTTACTTAGTGCTGGCTCTGGCTGTAGTTTCCTTCCTCTTCATCACCTGTTTAGTGGTTATTATATCAGTGAAGATCTACAGGTGGAGACAGTCTCGCATCCTGTATCACTCCAATCTCCCTGTGATTCCATATTATCCACCACGTTACTCAGACACTTTGGGGACAGGGACTCTCCAACACGTGTACAACTACGAGGTGTGTAGGACGACTGACTCCAGGAAGAGTGACTGTAAGTTTGGTGGAGCTGGTAGTCAGAACGTGTTGATAATGGACCCCAGTTCTACAGGGACGATGCAGCGGATACAGAGTGAGAAGAACATCCTGGATGAACCAGATTCTCCTCTAGAGGTTAGTTTTTTAGGATCCAAATTCTATATTTACATTTGTTTGCATTGTTGAATTAACTGATACATACAGTATGTTCGTGTTCTGGTCTGCCGTCAGCACCATGGACAGTGGTAGTGGTTTTGCTCAGGGGACCCTGTTGCCAGTACATGGGTGTTTGTGTTGGCAGCGTTTATTTGTATACATTTGTGTCTACATGAGCGTTGGGGTGAGGCCAATATGCGCTATTTGGAGATGCATGGACTGATATATTGTTACATCATATTAAGTTTTCTGAGTAAGGATAGCCTGATAGTTCACACGAAACCATCCTGTTGTGCTTTGTTACATTAGCTACAGCTTTTAAATACCTGTTTGTCTGTCTGAACATGTGAAATTGAACATTACATCTGAATTTACACGTGTTTATGATATGCTCACTGGTAGTAAAAATTTTTAGATTTAATCTCTTTGTCCATGTATCAAAATGACGTTACTGACTTCCCACTGTGCCATAAAGGAAAATATAAATTACCTTTTTAACCGAAGTGTCAAGTAAGCCCTTTTTATGCAGTTTTTACACGTATCATCAACTGTTTATTTTTTTGTTATACATCCTGGTACATACAGAATATGTGGTAACACTTTACAATAAGGGTACATTAATTAACCATACTTAATGCAGTAATAAGCATTAACTATTAATCATGTACTAATGTTTTTCATGTTAATTAAAGTATTACCTCATACATTATTTAATAGTGTTTAACGACACTGCTAACATTTCTTGATGCAGTAATAAGCATTAAAAATGTTAAATAATACAATAATAAGCATTGCATTCAACAACTTAAATGTCTCTTGGTAATACTAGTAAATTGTCAATAAAGATATTAACATTTATTTCACGAAGTTCACAGCTTAGCAGTTTCATTAGGAGAAGGCTGTTTTAATGTTCATTTAAGCATAATAA